AGGCTAAGTATTATAGAATTCAATGTTACTTCGTTCAGCTGTCGTGTCATCGAAGCCACAGCGATAATTTCTGCTCCTCCGGACTGTTGTGAATGAAGCAGGTGCTTCACCCAATGGTCACCCTGAAAAAGAAAAACTAACACGTATATATAGTATACACTATATATAGGAATCGCAAGACCAAGGTCGATGGCATAGTTGTCGGCCAGGCATACGTGGTTCTCAGGTAGACGCACGTGAAAGTTTTGGCGGGAAAATTGCTAACTCAGCAACCACAGGAGCTGGAAGACTGAAATTTTGAGGGTATGTTCCCTGTTCACGTACAATTTAAAGATTTCAAATTCAGTAATGGAAGACGTTTCGAATATAAGTTTAAAACACCGAAGAACGTTCCAGTGATGAGTGAACTAGTTGCCGTTTTAGGTAAGGAATAAGATCGAGATATTTGACCAGGATATTGTATGCACTAATGAAGAAATCATTTTTTGGACAGTCTGTGTTTTATCCCTTAGCTGTAAACACTGACCGAATTGCTTAGCAAAACTTCTAGCCGTTTCGAGATCCACTGAAACAGGGTGCCACTGTTAGGGAAAATCCGCGAAAATCCGGCAAAAGAAGCCACCAAGCAAGAAAAAGCATATTATTACCCAGGAAGATACACAGGAAGTAGAAAAGGTGTGCCTTGCCTTATATGCAGAAATGCTTCCAGGTCGAATCTAGGGAACAATATAGGCTGCAATAGATAAGTACGTCGCGTCCGGACGTGAAGAGGTAAGCACTTGGCGTCCTTTCAACCCTATTATAACAGCGCTCTGGAAGCAAGCAGTACTGCAACCCTTTCCGAACCCCGGTATCCGCGGCAAAAAAACAGGAGTACTCCCCCTCTTCATTTTCTCCTATCTTCTCCCCTCCCTTTCATCCCCTCTCCGTTCCAAATTACTTGACCTAGCCAACCGACAAGGGATCTACGCCACGTAGCCATTCAATCCACTCACCGAACCTCTTCCCCTTACTTCAACTGGACCACGAAACTCGCACACACCACCCCACACTACCCGTAGTATCCAATATCCTCCGCACCGAGATCGGGTAGGGATACTTGCCATCGGCAGAAAAAAATTTTTCGCAAATCGTGTAAGGAGCCGGTCAAGCCGAGTTTTAGTTGTCGTCCGAATTTTAGTAGCAAAATCTTGGCATCGTGCCAGTCATAGCCTACTACCGCGTCTTTTAAACTGCCAAATGGTTTTTGCGCGGTCGGTTTCAAAGAACGACGAACTTCGTTGGCTGTCGGGGGGAAGGTGAGTTGCTGTAGTACGGAATTCTCGTCTTTGGACCCGGTTTCCCGGGTACTGGGTGGGTATTGTTGCCTGGAAATGAGTTTTTTGAGCCTATCACCGATGATTCTACATAGATTCGCTGGGGAGAGTGCGAAGAATGAATTCCAGCTACCTCGTTTCACCTCAGAAAAGAGTTATTTCAGTTTTTTGATGGGAATCTGAAAGTGCCATTCAGGTGTGGAGCTACTGTGCTTGGCGAATTTAGCCTACAAGATGAAGCCCTTTTTGTCTAAAAAAAAGCTGCCGCAACGATTTTCCCGGTAAAAATTTGGTCTAGGAGCTCTTTTTTTAACTTTTTTGAACTTTTCTGAGCCGGATTTGGCCCGCTAAGATTGCTCGGGCAATCACGGTATGGATATCCCCCATGTTAGATTTTGATGTTACTTAAATGCTTTTCTCATATATAAGAGATCGCCTTCGGTCCGGACCTACACACTTCTGGTTGGTATCCACCATCCGTTCGACTACTTATACGTGTTCTCGTTAAAAATCAAAAGAAAAAATCTTTAGCCATGAAATGGCAAAAAAAATCGTTAGAAAAGATCAACAGAAATCATTTTTCTAAATTTACTCGAAATCGTGATTACTCTAATTTGAAGCACCCTCACCCATTTTTCAGATGATATTAGTATTTTTGGCAATATACAGTTACATGTGTTTATACAAAGCTAATTATTATCTTAAATATTTTGGATTATCTCAAGCCATTACTCGAAATCTCTCTCAAATCTTATTTAAAATCGTTAAAAATCAAAAGAAAAAATCGTTAGGCATGAAATCACAAAAAAAAAAAGATTAAGAAAATCATTAGAAAAAAAATCATCGGGGAAAATCAAGCCCCCCTCAAACCGCCACTCAATATCGTTAAAAATCAAAAGAAAAAATTGTTAGCCATGAAGCTGCAAAAAAAAAAAATCATTAGAAAAAATCATCAGAAAAAATCATTTTTCTAAACATACCCCAAATTGTCACTCAAAATTTTGCCACAAATTTGCTAAAATTGGGAAAGTAATGGTACTATAAAATCCAAAAAATGGTACCAAATTCAAATTCTGCGAAATAAAAATCAGTACCTTGGCGGTATAAGGAAGGCGGAGCTCACGTGAGGTAATGCCATCGAGACGAGAGTGGAGCGGTGCTGCCATTCAGAGCGTAACAATGAACAATGAGAACGTGATCGACGTGAAGTAAGGAGCCAGTGGCTGGGAGGGGCGGTACCTGGCGTGGTCATTGGCCAACGGCCTAGCGGGGGGGCGGGGCCAGACGTGATCGCCGTTTGGTCACGTCTCATGTCATACTGCACGTCGCAAATGGACCATCATAGCACCCCACGCCAGTGTTACAGTCTGTTTCTCCAGCTATGCAGTTGGCAACTTTTCCAGTTGCTTTGACCAGTGCTGCTTCGCCCTGATGGTCAGTCTGCTGGCGATCCTGGCATTCGTTTTGTCTCTTGCAGGAGGAGGATGAATTATCAATTTCTTCTGATTAAAACATTTGACAAAGCTTTGGTCATCTGTGTGTAAACGGAGGAACACCATTCCGTCTCGAACACGGGTCACTCTCAGACTACGATGAAGTGATTTTTGATTAGTAGATGGGATTTGTACTTACATAAAATGACTACTGATCCAACATATTATGAATTTGACCGATGCTGCATTGCCTGGTAGTCAGACTTTTGACGTTTTTGTCGTTGTTTTCGCCTCCTGAAGGGAGATTATCAGTTCCTGGATTCAAAATGATGAAAACACGAGAAAAGTGGGGCAGCATACTCGTCTTCATTGTTAAACTCCTATTACTGTACAGATAAAAATGATCAAAAGACATAACATAGTAAAACGCTATGGTACATGCAAAACTAGCCATATAAAACAAGCAATTTCACAGGGCGGTGCACCTTGGTAGACGTGGAAATCATCAGTACAACCTCCTATCCGCTACATATATGTTTGACTATGCGAGAATGACACAGGGATAAAACAAAAGGAGACAAAAAGAGAAACAACAGAAAAAACATTTGCGATGTGCAACAGCAAAATTACGTACTACTTACAACTTGCAAAAAAACCCCGTCCCCTTCCCAACCTAACAAATGACAATTTTAAAACTACAAAGTAATGCAGAAGCAAAGAAAAAGGGTCTGTCCCCTTACTTCTGTAATCCACTAGACCTACGTATTTCACTAACCAATTAGCCTATAAAATTTTCAAAAAATTTCGCAAGAAAAAAGACATATGCCAATTATCAGAACGATTACCGGTACAATAAAAATTTCTACAAACATTCAGAATCGCATTTTTAAAGAGCAGAACAAAAAATTCTCACAATAATATCAACCTTTAAAAATATTTTTGCAAATTTTGGTATGATCTCAAAAAATCCTAAAAAAACTAGACATTCGAGAATCCACAACATATCATCTGTAGAAAATATCTGTTGGTGGCAATATCTGTTAATAACTACTAATGCGTTTCAAATTTCATGCCACCTGTTGGTGGCATATGAGGGGGACCCATTGTAACTCCTTGATGAACGTTCATATTCGGTACTGAAAGGCCGCCGTGTGAATGCTGTGACTGCATCATTGGGGCATTTGTTGCCTGTGGACCGGGATTTGGACGAGGAATCTTCTGTAGGATTGCAACGAGTTGTTCTTTCTCATCAAATGTCTTCCACACACTGTACAAATTGATGATAATTTTTTGAATTTCCAATATCTGCAAGCAAAAAAACGTCAGATTTAAATTTCTGAAATTTTTTAATTTTGTTTGGAGTTACAAGAATGTTCAGTGAATGAAACAGGAAAAGTTGCTAGCTGCAGCGATGGCGTAAAATTCTTCAGAACACTAAATTTTCATTAAATTGCATTAAATAAAAAATTTCCATTCGTGAAAACATGGCAAAAATGTAGTTTATAAGATACCCAATCCTGAAGATTACAGAGTTTCACACAACTGCGCTAGGTGTGTGAGAACATCCCAGTAAAATCACTTATTTAAAATTCAAGCATCGACTATTTAAACAGTTTCGACATTTTTGGCATTTAGCCAAGACCAATAATTTTTAGCACAAGCCACTACTTGATCTGTTTGTTAATCCCTGCTTCCAGTCATAATCACATATTTTGCCCAAAATTAACAAATCTCTCCTCCTTATCCTCTGGAACTCCAAATGTAAGAAAAGGGCAGTCG